ACTGTATAAGCAGGATTTATGGCATAGTAATGGTCATTGTGCAAGTAATATATTCTTACAAAGACATAATTAAAGATTTTTTAAAATGAAGATTTCTTCTCCATATAGTCTTGTTTCAGTAACTCCCTTGCATTATTCCAGACAATTCTAACTTTTTACTTATTTAAAAGATTAGAGGTAGGATGGATGGATTCTGCTTGGATTATTTGTCTAGTGAAGAATCTGTATAGAAATGAAGGCAGGTGGGGTTATTTGATAAGCTAGGAACTGGACAGAATTAACATGGAATAATTCATTGTACATTTCAGGCTAAAAATTCTTCAGCTCAGCCCTTTGTGCTTCTTAGACCCTAAATCTAGCAACGCTCTTTTTAATTCTCCATGATTCTTAGTTTACTTACAGCATTGATGGCTAACCTTGACACCATAAATTGTTTATGGACTACATTTCCCATGATACAAACACAAGAGTCTAAAAGCTGGCTGAGCATCATGGGAAATGTAGTCCAGAAACAATTTATGGTGTCAAGGTTAGTCATCACTGACCTACAGGAAGGTTCAAGACTGCAAAGCAAAAAGTGTCAGCATGATAAAGAGAGGGCTCCTTGATTCTTGTTTACATTTGTCAAATCAGTTTTTAGAACACCCCTGGGAATTTACTCTTTTGTCTTTCTCATGAGCAATAATTAAATAAATACTCCAGGCACTATAACCACTACAGTGTGCACTCCCCCAACCCCACCTCCCAAAATTTAAGTAGTCAAACCATTTTCTAGTGGAATGACTTCTTGCATGGGGATCACTGTGCACCATTCTCTATCTCTCTGCAGCCTGTACGTTTTCTTCACTGAACTAAATAAAGTGATCACCTGTGGACCCAGCCATTACTCTGTCCCCCAGCCCCAGGACTTAACTCAGGAGAGCAAATAGACCCCCTTTGACGGAGCTGCAATATCCACATTGGATGAGGAGAAGCAGGGAGCAGCAACAAGTGGGCCCCAAGTCAAATCGCTGACAAATACACATGGCACTCCTGACACCATAACAGCAACAGTGTAATGCAGTGGTGCTGGTGCTTTGAATATAGCTTTAATTATGAGGACATACTTATCTGTTTATAAGAGTAAAAGATGCTTATCTGGGGGAATTGGTACCAAAGGTAAGTCTTATTATGTTTCAATGCTAACAACAGTTACTTATTTCCAGTACATTTAATTCTAACTATGTAAAGTTAATTATTCTTCACTTAGTCTTTTGCTATAATCTTATTTCACATGTACCATTGTTCCCTCTATAAGGGCGTGTGTGAGTTACAATCCAGATGGCTCTTTTTTTATTCACGTCTTTAATCAAATCTCTCTCTCCATTTCCTAACAAAGGCTTGTTTGGGAATTTCTTCATTATCTATATTGTATTATGTTAGGAAATTGTTTGATATTGAATTTACTGTGACTTTCAGTCTCATATTCCTCACGTGTTTTTAAAGTCCCTATTTTAATATTTGTTTGACATACTGTAAATATACTATAAACCGAGAAGCATTTAGGACAAAACATTTGCTGTGAAATTAAAATAGTCGTGTTTGGTCTATTCATTAAAAGTAATTTGTAGTGAGGTGACAACCAACTTGCAAGATGTCAATAAAAATAGTTGTTTTGGAAAAACATTCCAGCTTTAATTTTTCCTAAGTCACTGATTCTTGTCTACTTTTGACAAGTGTGTTGTCAAATTACCCAGTGAGTTTACCCAATTACCTTTCTTATCAACTATGGAGAAAATGAAAGTTGGAAACATCCTCTGTAAATTTTATGTCAAAAGCAACTTTTAATAGGTAGCAGCATAAGAATGGATCTTAAAAGAACACCATAGTGTCAGGAATACAAACGTGTATTCCTGACACTATACTGGTGGAGTGGCCACTGACCCCCATCTCATAAAAACACAGACACATAGAATGTGACGGCGGATAAAAACCATTTGGCCCATCTAGTCTGCCCAATTTTCTAAATACTTTCATTAGGCCCTTGCCTTATCTTATAGCTAGGATAGCCTTATGCCTATGCCACGCATGCTTAAAGGACCACTATAGTGCCAGGAAAACATACTTGTTTTCCTGGCACGATAGTGCCCTGAGGGTGCCCCACCCTCAGGGACCTCCTCCCGTCGGGCTGGATGCCGAGGAAAGGGGTTAAACTTACCTTTATTCCAGCGCCGGGCGGGGAGCTCTCCTCCTCCTCTCCGCCTCCAATCCTCCTCTTCGGCTGAATGCGCATGCGCGGCAGGAGCTGTGCGCGCATTCAGCCGGTCTCATGGGAAAGCATTCATAATGCTTTCCTATGGACGCTGGCGTCTTCTCACTGTGAAAATCACAGTGAGAAGCACGCAAACGCCTCTAGCGATTGTCAATGAGACAGCCACTAGAGGCTTTAGAGGCTGGATTAACCCATTTATAAACATAGCAGTTTCTCTGAAACTGCTATGTTTTAAAAAAAAAAAAAAGGGTTAACCCTAGCTGGACCAGGCACCCAGACCACTTCATTAAGCTGAAGTGGTCTGGGTGCCTAGAGTGGTCCTTTAAACTCCTTCATTGTGTTAACCTCTACCACTTCAGCTGGAAAGCTATTCCATATATCCACTACCATCTCAGTAAAGTAATACTTCCTGATATTAATTTTAAACCTTTGTCCCTCTAATTTAAGATCTCTGTGAGGTGAAAAGGTGTTTTTATTCATCTTTTCTACAATGCTGAGCCAGTCTGACTGTGACTTATCCCCCCTATCTTTGCCTTCACGGCAATCGTGATGATCTCAGCCAATCCAATGCTTTCCCACAGGAAAGCATTGGAAGGCTATTGCGCATACCCGGCATAACGCCACACTTCACCAATCGGCATCTCCTCATAGAGAAACATTGAATTAATGCATCTGTATGGAGTACGATCAGCGCATTGTGCAGCACATTGTACAGCACTGACACACATTGTGCAGCACTGACACAGGACGCACCTCTAGGGGCTGTCTGAGTGACTGTTACTAGAGGTGTTACTAGGCAGCACGGTAAACACTGCCTTTTCTCTGAACCGGCAGCGTTTACATTGAAAAGCCTGCAGGAACAGGCAATAGACACCAGAACGACTACATTAATCTGTAGTTGTCCTTGTGACTAAAGTGTCCTTTTAATGAAATAATTAAAATGCTTTTAATCACAGTTGCTATTGTTTGAGGTACTATGCCATAGTAATATGCAAAGGCATACCCTCATATTTTGTATTTTCCCACCCTCTACGTCATTGCCAAGGCACACTAGCTGAGGTCAATTTAGTCTAGTTATGTTCAGAGAGAACCACAGAGAAGGATTAAGATCCCATAGGACCCAAACAGTTTAACGGTTTGGGCTGGTAACTTCATTCTTCACACAGGGATGGTTAATAGTGCCAAGCAAATTCATGGTTCTGGGCTGCCTAAGGTCACCGTATGGGTAATCTTGCTCGGAAGAAGCATTATTATACAGACCATCTTCAGATGGAACATATTCTACCCAGCTCAAGTTACCTGCCTCTCCACCAGTTATAAGCAGAAGTGGGGAAACCATTACTGCAGTTATGTAAAACCACAATAGTATAAATTACAGAAATATATGTTTGTGTTCTGAAATAAAAGTCTGAAATTTGTTGCTTTATTTTTCAAATCCAATGAAGTTTACTTTGTGGAATGATTCAACTTGGACAACATGCAGAAATAGGAGAGAGATTTTAGAAGCAGAATTTAGTTTTTTTCTTTTTTTTCTTTCTGCAATCCCATTAAATGGAATGTTCAACACGTTCCTAAAATAAACTGCACATTTATCAAAACAAACTTCTGAGTGTTCCAGGCAAGCATTTTAATTAAATTCATATTTAAATAGGAAAAAAAGTGTTCTCATTAGTTAATGATCAGACAGTGGATACTAAATTTCTTTACTTTAAGAATCATTAAACATTTCACTTGAAATACACTCATAGAGAAGCACTGGGGCACAAGGTACATGCATGGCATTTGTTGCACTCCACCAGCACTATTTCTCACTGAGAAGCATTGAGAAGCATTAAAACCAATGCCTTTCTATCAAAAGCTCTTACTACCCCTTTGAACTACAACGAGTGGAGCATGAGACCCTCTCAGCTACCTAGTTAATAGCCAGGAAGTGTTACTAATGGGATATATAAAAGTGGAGAAGTGTCAATCACTTTTATAAAAATAAGTCTTTAGGAACATGCAATTAATTCCTAAAGCATTTTAACAAATTTGGAAGATTGGAGCATCCCTCGTTTGTTATGTGTATTAACGTTAATCAGAAGATAAAGGTAATTATTCAATAAACAGTGAATTGTGGTGGTTAAAAAAAAAAAAAGTTAACTTTGGGCCCAAAGAACCAAACTGTAAAAACTGTTGGATTGCAGAATTTTATCTAAACAACTATGTTGAAATAAAATTTGCAATTTGTTTTCAGTTCATAAAAATTTACTATTTAATCAGTGAACCTTAAATATAATTAATGAGAGAACTATTAAAGGAACACTATACAAACACTTTACAAACCTGCATTTCTAATACTATAGTGTTCTCCTCCATATTCAGATTCAGCCCCTAATAAACCTAATTAAAAAATGGGGGAAAAAAGGACTTACTTACCTTTTATCCCATCCCTGCAGCTGTCCAATACGCCTCCTTCAACACGCTGATTCTTCATCTTATTACCCAATCCAGTAACCCTCTCATGAGCATTGGCGATGAGAAGTGAATGCCTGACCAGCGTCAAGCTTCTCTAGTCAAATGCTCCCTATGGGAAGACTTTCAAGTGGCTACCTGTAACAGCCGAGTCTGGGTGTCTATAGTGTCCATTTAAATGCCTTAATTTGCCTTCAGTCTTTGCTATTTTCCCTCTCAAAGGTTGAAATGCATTACATATTTGAAACAAGAATGAGAGATGCGAGAACATCTTTATATATATACCTCACAGTCAGCAGACACATTCCAGCCAATCAGCAGCAGACCCTCCCTCCCAGACCCTCCCACCTCCTGGACAGCATCCATTTTACATTCATTGTGAAGCTGCATTCTTAGTGAGCTGTCCAGGAGGTGGGAGGGTTTGGGAGGGAGGGTCTGCTGCTGATTGGCTGGAATGTTTCTGCTGACTGCGAGGTACAGGGTCAAAGTTTACTCAATGATGAGTCCGTGGCGAACCGTTCGCGAACCGTTCGGGACATCACTACTGAGCAGCACACCAGGCTCAGCCATTGGCACTAAAGACCCTCCTAAAGAAAAAAATTGAACAGCAAATTTAAACATGTGTGTGTGTGTGTCTGTGTGTATGTGTGTGTGTGTATCTACCAATGTGTGTAAATTTGTGTGGGTATGTGCCAGTTTGTGTGTCTGTGTGTCAATGTGTGTGTCAGTGTGTGTATCTGTCTGTGTGTGTCTGTGCTAGTGTGTATCTGTGTGTCAGTGTAACTGTCAGTGTGTGTATGTGCCAGTGTATCTGTCAGTGTGTGTGTGTGTGTGTGTGTGTGTGCCCCCCTACACATACAAACACAGATACACTGGCATTAACACACAGATATACTCAACTTGACACACAGATACACACTGGCACACACACAGATACACACACTGACATATACACACAGGCACACAGATACACACACACACAGATACACACTGTGTGTCAAGGTGTGTGTGTCTGTGTGTCAGTGTGTGTATATTTGTACCAGTGTGTGTATCTATGTGCTTGTGTGTATGTGTCAGTGTGTGTATCTGTGTGCTAGTGTGTATCTGTGTGTCAAGTTGTGTATGTCTGTGTGTGTTTATATGTGCTGGTGTGTATCTATGTTTGTATATGCCAGTGTGTGTATCTGTGTGTCAAGGTGTGTGTATCTGTATTTGTGTGTATATGACTGTGTATGTGTCGGTGTGTTTCTGTTTGTTAATGTGTAAGTATGTATGTGGCAGTACATGTACAGGCATCCCAGCAATCAAACACCAACACAGCACAGCCTCCTGCAAACACAAACATGACATAAAAAGACACCCCTGAACTCTAACTCCAAAATTATATACAAACACTCACCAATACTACACACAAATGTACATCGACATTTAAAATCCAATGCTACATCCAAATTCACCTACGCACGCAAATGCTAACATTCTACACAAACACATATTGTATTAAAATAATAAAATTACATTACTGCAATCTGTTTACTATCTGTAGAAATTAGTGTATATATAGCAAAAAAAAAAAAAAAACAGAAAACATTATGCTCTGCCAATTAAAAGGTTTATGCAATGGCGCAAAATCGTTTTTGGTTTTTTTTGGGGGGGGAGGGAAAGGTTGGGAAGGGTGGGGGGGCTTCCCCAATGTTGATACACTATGTCAAAGGGTTCCACATGAAAAATTAATTGGGAACTCCTGCTTTAGAGCAAGTGAAAAGTCATCATCTACAGTGAAAGCATTTAGATGGGTGGACATTTGCTCATTAGAATGTTGCACAAAAAATATGCAACCTGCAAAATTATGCAGTAAAGATGTAAACATACATAATGATGAAATGCTAGCTCTCTCCTGTCCTCTCTAACAAACATATAAAGTATGAATGCACAAACCATGGTCACAAAGCAGTTACCAGTTCTACGTGGTCATGGCCAGATTAAGAGCCCAGTGGGCCTGGTGCTGACAATTATGATTGGCCTATTTACAGAATCTTATCGACCAAAAACACTAAAACAATCATCCTCCCAAGCATCATGTATCTGATGGAGATGGTGTTGGAGGGAAATTCAAAGGATGCAGCTATACGAAAACACATACTCTATGCTAATCTCTCTCTAATTTATGCTTTCATCTTTCAAGTAAATCCATATCCCCTAAAAGCAGTGTCCAGTGAAGCAGGAAGTCAATGTGCAGGGTAAAAGAGTGTGCCACTTGCGCGAATCACGTGACCAGACCTGCCAAAAGGGGTGAACATGCCCAAAAAGGGGGCATGTTTGTCCAAAGAATTGGAAGGCTAGCCTGACATGAATGCATGTCAGACTGCCTGCCAATCATCCAGGCTGTCCAACTAAGGGCATACTATGCAGGCAGCACCCTGAGCTTGACATAAATGCATCAAATGATGCACCTACTCCACGCTTTCTAAGGACTGTCCCCTACCACTCACATGTCCACTTGTCTCCTTATCATCTTACTAGCAAGCAGAAGTTCCTGGTATATAGTCTGGGACAGAGAAAAGGTGTATGTAGTGAGTGTAGAAGAAAGGGGACATGCCACAGTGTTAGAGAGACCAAAGTCTGCATTATCTAAACAAATTTTGTCAGCCAGTCCACACAGGTTTTGTTCCTATGCATCCCTCCTAAGCTTCCAAACTTAAAGGGACACTATAGTCACCAGAACAACTACAGCATTTTGTATTTGTTCTGGTAAGTAGAATCATTCCCTCCAGGCTTTTTGCAGTAAACACTGTCTTTTCAGAGAAAATAACTCTGATGGCCACTCCTTATATGTCTGTTAGAGGTGCCTCCTGGGGCAGTACTGCCTAGTGTCCAGCACTGCCATTCAGTGTCTCCACCCTCTGCATGCAGACACTGAACTTTCCTCATAGAGATGCATTAAATCAATTTATCTTCACAAGGAGATTCTGATTGGCCAGGGCTATGTTTGACTTGTGCTGGCTCAGGCTCTGCCCCTAATCTGCCTAGTTGGCAGTCTCAGCCAAATCCTACGGGGAAGCATTGTAATTTGCTCAGACCACCACTTCTGATGATGTCAGCAGACAGAGTCAGTTCAGAGGCAGACAGGGACAGAGCCAGCAGCTGCAGACTTGAATACAAGTAAGAGTTTACTATATTTAGGGAGGCAAGAAGGGGCCAGGGGGGCTAAATGGTGGTTTTAACATAATAAGAAAATAAGAAATACATGATTGTATTCCTGACCCTATAGTGTTCCTTTACGCAAGAGTATGTGAAGAGTAGTTAGGGTTGCCACCTTTCTTGGAAAAAAATACCAGCCTTATACATTTGTATAATTAATTAATTATGCATGACGTCACATGATGTAAATTACAAGGAGTGACATAAGAGAAAATTCTGTAAAATCACCAACAAACTACTCACAGTTTGATTCTGCTGTATAGATGGATTGCTCCCAGTGTCTCTCTGTCTCCCAGTGTCTCAGTCTCGCAAGTCACCCAGTCTCTCAGTGTCCCTATGTATCACAGTGTCAGTGTCCATGTTGCCCAGTCCCCTAGTCTCCCAGTGTCTCAGTGTTCCCATTTCTCCCAGTGTCCCCATGTCTCACTGTGTCCCCATGTCACTGAGAGACCCGGGGACATTGAGACATGGGGCACTGAGACACTTGGGGACACTGGGAGACATGGAGACACTGAGTCACCAGGGACACTGGGAGACATGGGGACACAGACACTGGGAGACTAGGGGAAACTGGGAGCCATGGGTACACTGAGACACTAGGGACACTGAGACATGGGGACACAGACACTGGGACCCTAGTGTCTCCGTGTCCCAATGTCTCAGTGTCTCCCAATGTCCCTATGTCTCACAGTGTCCCCATGTGTCTCAGTGTCCCCATTTCTCCCAGTATCCTCTAGTGTCTCAGTGTCCCCTTGTTTTCCAGTGTACCCAAGTGTCTGTGTCCCCAGGTCTCCCAGTATCCCCTAGTGTCTGTGTCCCTATGTCTCACAGTGTCCCCATGTGTCTCAGTGTCCCCATTTCTCCCAGTATCCTCTAGTGTCTCAGTGTCCCCTAGTTTCTCAGTGTCCCCATGTCTCCCTGCTGCCTTTCCCCCCATCCCTCACTTACCTGAGCTGTAGAGCTGCTGTCTGGACTCTCTGTGCTGTGTAGCTGCTCCTCCACAAATCAGTGAGTAGTAGAGAGAGGCAGGGAGGGATATGCTGTTACTTCCTATCCCTGCCTCTCTCCACACACAGTGACCCCTACTGGCCAGTGCTGGTATTGCAGAGTAATTTCTGTTTATACTGAGAAAAATACCTGCATTTGTATTGCCGGTATTACTGCAATACTGGCACTGGCCAGGCAGCCTCAAATACCAGCTGTGCCAGTAAAATACCAGTCAGGTGGCAAACCTAAGAGTAATGTGTAAAAAAAATGTAATTTTTTTTTTTTTTTTTTTTAAATCAACGAGCCTATTCCATGGGCCTGGCCTGGAGCTGCAGCTCCATCGGCCCCTATGTTAATCCGGCCCTGTCCGTGGTAATAGTTGAAAACAGGTAAATAATGTGTGGTTATTCCGTATTTTATAATACATGTGATCTTATTACTTACCCATTGATATAGTCCACACAGCCGCAATTTTCATCATAGCTTTAGTACGAGAGTTGAAGCGACTGTGCTCTATGGGATTACGTATTGCTACATAGCGATCTAGAGAGATTGCACAGAGATGCATTATTGATGCAGTAGAAAAGAATACATCCAATGAAATCCATACAGGGCACAGTTTCTGTGGCAAAGGCCACGCGTAATCTGAAATGAAACATGAAAACACAACCGTCATTATCAAGTTATTCAATCAAAACCATCAATCACATAATTTATATCATTATGTTACTTCCCCTCTGGTGTTCATTCTGGATGTATATTAATTCAGTCTGAGATACGAGTGTTCTTTTTCTACTTGTGTCTTTTATGAACATTAAGAAAAAGCTAAAACTGCGTTCAGTGTGCAAATGATAAAGTTTCATTATGAGCTGTTTGTCAAGCAATGTTCTGTCTGCAATGAGAATATCTGGATTTATTTATTTATTGATATATAATGTGCCACAGTCATAATTTATTTCTAAAACCACAAACTGTAGTGCATTTAAGGGAACATTTCAAGCATCATAACAAATTTTTCCAATTATGTTATTTTGGTGTGAAATGTTCCGTTAATTTAATTGTTCCACCACTTACAGATTGGTCTAGGACAATAGCCGTATGACAGTAATAGCAGTGAAAGGTCCACTTTCAACCGTTTAAAAACTTAAGAAAAGAGTAACACAAACAGACATAGAGGAGTCAGTTACCTATAAAGATATGCCTGTTTTCTTATGCCATTGAAGCAAATATGTCAAAATGAAATTTACTAGCTGATCTATCTAAGCTGACCAGAGC